CGACGGACCAGTTTCTGACACTCAATTCTTCTTCATCTCCTTTGGAACACAAGAAAGTTAAATACCACACGGTAGATTTTCTCTTAGTTAGGAACTGGAACTTCGCTGCCTTTCACAAGCGTAGTGGAACATTTTCATTTGTCGAATCAATCAATCAATTAATCAATCAATCAAATTTGTTCATGTGATGTATCAATTACTATCAGCAGATGGTCATTTCATCTATATGTCAGTATTCTCAGTCATGAGCAACTTATTTGCAATCAATGATGCATTGCAATATAGGATGACGCACATTGCGGTGGAAAAATTTTCATTAAAACTGAACCAGTTGCAATGAACCCCTGACACAGTGCCATCTCGCAGAGTCTTGGTTGAGGAACAGTGATCTGCTCAGTGTACAGCATGGTTGTCCAGTCTGATCACAGCATCTTCGATGGCTGGGGAGAATTATGACTGTTTCATAATAGAAGTGTACAAACTGACGGCGATGAGTCATCGGCTTTCTCCATAGTCAACCGTATTGGCCAGGCTTTCCTGCTGCAAAAGGGTGAGAGTGACAAATGGGATGTCATACTCCCTGGCACAGTAGCTTTCACTGTTTCTTGTAATCTACCTGCCTCACCTTAACTCCACCGGTGCCAATTCAGTGATCAGTGATTTGCCAAATTCTATCTAGTCGATTTCAGCAGATGTTTCGTTGAAGGGACACAAGAAGAAGGGGCAGTAAACATTCTCATGAGAATACTGTCGTACCAAAACAGGTCCAGAAAATACAGACAATTAATACGAACAAAGCGAGCAACTTAAAGTATATTCACAGCTATATATGTTATTGATGGAGGTAAGAATACGAGAGGATACGATCACACATTGCAGGGACGACACGCGCAATGCTTTGCCATGATTGAGCGAGGATAACATTGAGTGAGGCAATGAAGTGATGACTTTGATCTTGAAACGCAATTATACAATTAATTGTTGATATTAACAGACTTATCTAAAACTTGGGGGGGGGCGATTTGTTTCATCAGCACTTTCAGAACAGTTAGTACAGCAGAAGGAGGGTGTCACATGAGGACCAAAACCTGACGAGTACAATACTTACGTTTCGTCTCAAGCTGCAATCCGGTGATAAGTTCAGCGTAAGAGACTGTATGTTTTTGAGAGTGTCGTTCATCGTCACTCTGTGCTCTGTGCCAAGAGTTGTTACGCCCTAAAACATACGATTTTAAATAATTTCACTACTTCCGCGAACGAAGGTCTGTCTGGTGGTCCGGAGTAAACACATGGCCCAATTGCTTCTCTTTCCGGTACCCGGCCACAACGCTCACCGCCCCGACGGGTCACATGGCGAACGTGTTTAAACGACTTCTAGCCAAACGGCGTGTGCTCGGGAAACGTCACTGCTGGCCATCAATAATCCTATTGGCATTCGTCACGATCACGACTGACAGTTCGTTAAACCGGACGAAAGCGCCACTGCGCTGATGAACTCTAGGCGCTAGAAGTTCAGTCGGCTAAGTAAACAGTTGATGAAGGAATGACCTCTGTTTCAAATGTGTTGGACTCCCTCACCTGAGGTAATAGCGAC